CGGAATTAACTGAAACCAGGATATTCCAAAAAGGCATGGCACATGGAATTAGAACAATCTACCCCCATGGACTAAATAAAGAGTTTGGTTTGAAATTCTAATGTATATAACTTGAAGAAGGCCAGTGTGAATATGGAAATAAAGATGAGGCTAACAGTACAAACAATGTAAATAAAAAAAATAAAAAAAATAGTGGAAGGTGCTCAGACATACAGAATATTCAATTTCTATATAATTTATATACAGAAAAAAAAAAAAATTATAAGAACACAAGAAAAAAACAAAGGTCCACGTTTCCTGAACATTACAATCAGAAATGCTGATAGGTGCATGTCCATGTTCTGCATACCTGAAACACACAAAAATTGTAAAGGATGCAGTAACTTTCCCATCTGCGCATCTCAGGGATGCAACTAAAGTTTCCCATGAAAAGCAATACATTGCAACATATTCTTTCATATACTTTTTGCACGTTCTTCCTTCCTTTCTTTCTTTCATTTACTCTTTCCTTCTTTCAGGCGATAGGATGTGTGGGTGGCATGAAATAGACATCATTGTCACCTTACCGGAAACTTTTATTTATTTTATTTGATGCACCTGAACTCATTGAAGTTTGCTGACCATTGCTTTAAGTAGTTTTGTTTTAAATTCATTGATTCAACTGAAAAAAGCACTTCTGTTTGTTCACAAAAAAACATAGTTTCTTAATTGAATTGTGATTAAGTGTAAATACTGTTTTTGTTTTCGAATTTATTAATTTAAAAACAAAAAGTTGTTCTGTCAATTTAAGTGATTCAGCATTATTAAAAAAAAAAAAATTTGCAGATGATGGTTAAAAAAAAAAATACTTAGTCTGTCACCCCTACAGTTTAACACTAAAATTTATTTAACTTTAGTTGAGACCCAACTCACCACCTGTGGGTCCCAGGGTTTCACTAAATTAAAAATCTATTTGTATCACTGGGATATTGTCAATGATGAAGAATTAAGTAAGCATTGCTGTTGAAATAGTTCTATGATGTGCCTAATATCTTGAATATGTATGTCCCTTTTGTCACAATTTTTAACCAGTTATTAATTAGTAAGAGACATGTATAAGGTTAATGAATATGATTGAATTCATTATTTTAGGTTTACAAGAGACTTTCTAGTAACTCTGATAATGGCGAGGAAATTGATATGATACCTTGGTACCTGGTAAGGATTTCAATAGCCATCTTTCTTCCCATTACTCCACCAACAGATTTCAATATCACATCCAGGCTATTATGCAAATGGTCTTCCCTTCCTTTTTTTTTTCTTTTTTCTTTCCCTCAATATTTCTTTCCCTCAATATTTCTTTCTCTTTTCTCTTCTCTCTTTTCTCTTCTCTCTTTTCTCTTCTCTCTTTTCTCTTCTCTCTTTTTTTCTTCTCTCTTTTTTCTTCTCTCTCTTTTTCTTCTCTCTTTTTTCTTCTCTCTTTTTTCTTCTCTCTTTTCTCTTCTCTCTTTTTTCTTCTCTCTTTTTTTTTTCTCTCTTTTTTCTTCTCTCTCTTTTTTCTTCTCTCTCTTTTTTCTTCTCTCTCTTTTTTCTTCTCTCTCTTTTTTCTTCTCTCTCTTTTTTCTTCTCTCTCTTTTTTCTTCTCTCTCTTTTTTCTTCTCTCTCTTTTTTCTTCTCTCTCTCTTTTCTTCTCTCTCTCTTTTCTTCTCTCTCTTTTCTTCTCTCTCTCTTTTCTTCTCTCTTTTCTTTTCTCTTTTCTCTCTCTTTTCTCTTTTCTCTTCTTTTCTTTTTTTTTCTCCTTTTCTTTTTTTTTTTCCCTTCTTTTTTCCTTAATTCCAAATTCACTTTTCCCCAAATACAAATTTACACTTATAATTATTCAAACAACTTTTATGTGCCATGTCCTTCAAGACCTAGAGACAATCCTAGCTTTCCACAACTTTCTGTCCTTTTTAGCTCTTAGTAAAGTTTGTCTTTTTGCTAATCTCTTCTAATCCTTGTTCTGCCAATCATTCACACAAGCTCATTAGGTAAGTTATGTGCTGCTTTCCTCTCCTCTTTTTGCTTTCAATATATCCTCTGAGTGTCAAATTCTCTAAGCTCTCCTTCCTCATTATGTGCCACTGAAATTTCAGTTGTCTCTTTCTGATAATAAGTGTCCTTTTTTTTGTTTCCAAATTCCCTAAAACTTTGTCAAACCACATTTTAGTAATTTTCTTCATCTGTGAGGAGATTATCCAACAGACACTGACATGCAGGAGGATCAGTATTACATAACAGGTTTTTGCTTTGTTTTGTTTTTTGTTTGTTTTTTGTTTGTTTTTTGTTTGTTTTTTTGTTTTGTTTTTTGTTTTTGGTTTTTTTTAATCAGTATCATCCCAAGGCAGCAAAGCCACTAAGACACAAGGGGTTACAGGGTATGGGAAAATTAGGAACAGAAACAATAATGATGAACAGAAAGAGAAGAGAGTAATCAGGTGGACAGTAAACAGTTCCACAAGCAAGAAGTGAGAGAGAAGATAGCATAGAATTTACAGTTACATCCAGTCATCTCAACTGTAAATTGATGAGATCTAGATGCTTGCCTAGTACTTCGTTTAAATTAAAAAAAAAAACTCTAGATATCATAGCAAAGAGCTCATCCGAACAATTGCCATGAAAATATTTATAGAAAAGACATACAGAGGCAATGTTATGGCAGTGGGTAAGTGACTGAAGCTGAGCTGCCAGATCAGGACCAATAATATTGTTGATTTTTCTTTGGATCTTATCAAGAAGCTCAAGGGAAATAGCAGAGGCACTGGACCATATGTGCCAGCAATACTTTAAGTATAGGACAATGGTAGACTTGTAGATATGTAAGATAGGTTCTGGAGAGAAAAATTGTCTCTCTCAACAAAGTGAACCAACTTTAGTTCAGTACTCTTTTCTTTGTTTCTAATGAAATTTTCCTGTTAATACTTTGGTTAGCTTTTGGAAGGCATCTTTCATTATTCCAATGTAATCTCAGATTTTATTTCCACAGTTTCTGTGCTCTGTTAAAACACTTCGGAGATATTGAAATTATTGTACTTGCTTGATTTTCATTCCTCCAATTTGTCATTTGTATAAAATTGTAATGAAAAGAGAAGTACTATGATGCAGAAAATTTTATACATCTAATACATAATACTAGTGTGTCTTATTAGTAAACTTATCTGTTAGTTTGCGCCACTTATGAGGAGTAGTCCTGGGTATGACAAACTCCTTTTGGCAGCAAGGCCTCTGATCAAGAATTGGAGGTTTTGAGGAGTGTGGAACCACCTCTAATTGATGTTGTTTCCAGGTCAACCCTGACCCTGGGTGGTAGCACCTGTTAGAGTCCCAGCTATGGGCAAATAGTGAACCCCAAACAAAAACAATACACTATGAAAGTATAAAATTAAATTTTTATACTAAAAATTAACAGCAATACATTTTTTTATAAAAGAATTACCAACAATACATATTGTGGTAGGGTTAACAATATAACTTTAAAGCAAAATAACCAGCAGTACTTTTTATAGTAGAATTACCAACAATACCAATTTATAGCAAAATGATGGCTTGACTAGTGTTTACTATATACATAGTTCTGGCTGAAGATGACAACTTGAGTAAAACGGTTGACTAAATGGAATAAGCCAAACTGACTAAAATAGCGACGCAATCTCATCACAATATGACACGTACGCCTCAGATCCTTGTAAGTGAACTGTTGTTATGACTTGATCCACTGTTAATTGCAATTAGGTTGACTGTAATTGCTTATTGATAGCCAGGGGTAATACTGGGAACAAAGCTCTCACTGTCTATAAAATGCTTCTGTGACATTCGTCTCAACTAAGTCCAACTCCAAGCCAAGACAGAGCTCGACAGCCCAGGAAGGCAGTATCTAAGGGAAGGAAAAACTCTGCTGCCTTGCAAACATTGAAAAGGCTATGGGAGCAAATTCAGATAAAAAAAAAAACCTGAAATGGAGCCCCTGAAGGCAGTTGGTTGTCAACATTTTCTAACAACAACTGCAGCCAAGCTGACCCCAAATATAATGCCCTGTATTTCTTTGGATTTTGTTGGTATGGCCATGTAGTCAGGGCAGTGAATGGCCCCTATATACTATTGTCCGGGTCTGTGACCTAATCTCACAACAAAAGGACTTAATTTTGACCAAACTGGGTGCCACCTTTATCTCACGGGATAAATGGAGGCCTACTTTTTAATTGCTTACTTAAGGCAAATCTAGCATAATAACAATAGGCAAGGTTATCTTATTTAAATTATTAGCTGCTATTAGGTTTTCTTTAAATTCATTCTTTGCCACCATTATTATCAGAGCAGTCCAATGAGTCTGAGTCTTGTCTAAACTTGTATGGCTACCTCTGGTGGCAAAGTCGAAGATCCAGACTAAGTGCAACCAACCTCAAAGATCCCAACAGTGGAACAAGCAGATGACAGTTACAATTGATCTCAACAGCTGAACCAACAGATAAAGAGAGCTATGCATGATGGACATGTTCCAGAAGGTACCACTCAAAATTATAACAGTCAGGGGCAGTCTGTTGCAGTTTCATAACTGGATTCTGCAAGTCTCATTCCGTATGTACTGCAGGGGAGGGTCATGAAATCGAATGTGTGAGTCACTTCTTGGTAATTTGTGGTCCACTTTAAACAAATTCCTGCCATGAGAACTTTCCTCTACTCTGATTTTCTTTCAAATGGTGATAGGGAATGGATCAGGTTTTGGTGAAACTGGAAGCTTCTAGTCCTGAACCTGCATGTTGGTGGTAAATTTAGTCTTTGATGCTATCATCATAAAGGAAGTGATTGGCAAAAAAGATTTTAAATTCTTTGATAAGCGATAAAGCCACTGACAATGATTATCAGCACTATACACTGTGTTTGCCAGTCTCATTTTTAGTCAACGAACATGGGCCCAGTAAATGGTAATCAGCCTTTATAATAAATTCACACTGAAAATCTGGATTGCTTAATCAATAGTGGCTTGGAGCCATATCATGTTTAAACACCAGTTCTTGTACAATCACTGATGTTAAGCAATGTTGAGCCTGGTCAGTACCTAGATGGGTGACCACTTGGGAATACCAGGTTCTGTATGCTTGTGAAGGTGATGTAATGGATAACAGTTCGGAATTGGAAATTGAAGTTCCAATTCCAGTTGGTTTCATTATATTTTCTTATGAACAAGTATCCTTATGAAATGTATGAATCAACCACTTCTTCCCCCATTTATGGGTTGATTAGTAGGACTTGTATCAGTAAATCATTATTATCTCCAAAATGTTCTTACAACCTAAAAAATATTTTATGTATTTAAATAACCTGCAAAAGGTTATTTAAATACAGAAAATATCGATAGCCACAATAGATATTTACCCATAGCCTTCATCTATGGGTAAATAGAGTTGTTTGTGTTTTGAAAGGAAACCATTATGAATTCAAAACTAACCTGAAGGCATATGAGTTTTATCAGGCTATCTGACCAAAGAGACATCCAGTGCAGTTACAGCTTCAGTGCTCTTAATACTCCTACAGTCGGTGGTGTGAACTAAAGATAAAAATCATTGTTTAAAATTTAATAGAAAAAAATATTCTTTCTGACACAATTTTTAAAAGCTGATATGAAAAATTGTATTTATAAACCTGAAACTTTTGCTATATATAAAAATTTTTTTTTTTTAACAATAATGTTCGCCCTGAGTGATAAGCTTGTTAACCATTACACCATGAGGAGGTACCGAAAAACTTCTGCTATAAACTTACGTAACTTGATGGCTAGGATTTACCCCTGCAGTATTTAACCTTCTTGAACTAAAAATGAACTAAGATTTTAGTAACAATGAATGACCTGAGAGGCTTTTTTTCAGAGCAATACTTAATAATCCTTTTTTATTTATCTTTCAAATCTAACTTTAGCGTTATTCAGAAGACAGCAATCTTGACAAGGTTCGATTTGAAGAATGCGCCCACTACTTGAAAACCTATGGCACCTACACAATGGTTGTGGATTTTTTCCGGCGAAATGGTCACTGGTTGCGAGCAACACGGTTCATCTTGGATTATGTGAGTTCCCTATTCAGAATCTTTGCAAATGATGATCATGATCATGATAATAATAATGATAATAAAAATGATAATAAATAATGATGATGATTAATAATGATAAAGTTGATAATTTATTATTATATTTTCTGTGTATTTCTTTATCATAATACAAATATTTTGTTTTTAATATCCCATAATTTCTCACCAATTTCAAAATGTAAAGAATACAAACAACTTGGAAACTATTTGACTAATTAACATGAAATTGTGATTAAGATTTTTTTCTTCACCTCATCATCAGAACATTCAATGGTTTTTTTATCAATGCATTTTCTATTATATGTTTGGAGTCAGTGATAGTTGTTGTTTAAAAAAAAAAATGATAAATAAGTAAATATACTTACCTAAGAAAATAATCAATGATTTTGAATATTACAATTTTTTTTTTTTTTTTTTTTCAAATATTCTAAAGTAAATGATCATTGGTAACAGTTTCTGAATTATTTTCTTAATATATATATTTTTTTACACAAATACTTTTTATAATGGTGAAATTGTTCAATTTTATATTTTGATAGTCTTATTTTAAATTAGGTACCTCCACAAAAACACAATACCTAACGTTTAAGATGAATTTCTAATAATGAAAAAGTTTTTAATTTAGTTTTAATTTCAAGCTGACCAGTTAAATTTAATATTTACAATAAACAAAATACTATGCTGTAATTTGAAACTAATTTAAATTGCTTGGAAGGATTTTTTTTTTTTTCTTTTTCTTTTTTTTTGACATTTCTAAAATTTTTAAATTTAGTGCCATTTTTAGCAAAGTGTTGTAGCAAATGTCTTTATTAAAAAATTTTCCAAAAATACACTTTTCTGAAACTTTATCTGAGGGATATTAGCCGATTTAAAGTATAATTAATCTGATTCAAAACAAATATTATTTACTTTAAGTTTAAAATATTACAGAGATGCATTGTTCAACACAAAGGTAAATTGTTTATTTATGTTGACAGCATTTTAACACCTCGTGACAACTCAATAACAGATTGTTATCTAATGTTATTGGTGGGGGCTTTAACCGTAAAAAAATTAATTGGGGAATATAACTTGAACGCCTTTTAAGTACCCAGTAATCTTAAAAATTTAAAATATTCTCCATAATCTAATGTTTCTTATTGAATTTTAGAGAATTTTGACTCTAAATTTACTACAGTTGTTGCACTTATTTTCTGATAGTTTCATATCTATAAAATTTGGTATGTTTTTACACATGCAAAAACAATTTAAAATTCTTTTACAAATATTTGGTGGTGGCAGATTATAATAAGCTTTGATATATGATTAGTAAATATAGTTTTACTTAATAATAATCTTTCCTAAGAGTTACATCATTTAAGCTGAATTTTAAGATTTAAAAATATAAATTATTCTATTTAAAATTTTTAAAAAAAGACAACAAATCTTGCAATGAAAGATGATTTCATTGCAAAAAAAATTTTTTCTTCAGAATTGTCCTTAAAATATATTAATCATTAAAGCAATTAAAAGCTCCTCAAATTGAAATATGTCTTAATTTTATTGCATTTTTTGTTTTTTGATTAAGAGCAGATTTTCAGTAAGACTGTCTGATTTTGCAAAAAAATCAGTGATTGGAATTCTCCAAATAATTCTGTGTTTAACTAAAATTATCATGTTGAATTTCTCAAGTTTTCATAAACTTCAGGAGCTGAAACACATGTAAAAAAAAAATCATTTCTAAAATAATTTCATTCATTTCTGAATGAGTCCTAAAAGTTTAAGTAAAATCCAACAAATATTTGATTTTTTTTTCTGTAAGAATTTCCAAATTAATGTGTCTGTCATCGCAAAAAAAATCACTAAAATTTGCTATGTCAAAATGTACATTTGCTGATGCAAAAAAAAAACAAGATTTTTAATCAAAATTCCAAATGTTCTAAAAAGGTGTAAAAAAAATTTAATTAAATAATAAAAATACTTTGATCTTTCCTCTTAATAATAACAAAGATTTTGACAATAAAACAATTTTCATTACAATAAACTGTTTTTTTTTTTTTTTTTAGCAATTTTGTGGAGGTACCCATTTTAAATGTTATAACATTTGTTAACATTTAAAAGTTGCCACATTATAACATTTTTAGTATAGAACTTGTTTGTAATTTATTTGGGTTCAGATGTGTGGGTGGTGTCATGAAAAGCAGTTTGGAATGGAAAATCAGAGAGCCAAGTTCAAATTCCAGCTGAGTCTGTTACATTCATTTACAGGCTAATACCTTTGGGAAATGTAGGAATCTATTTTGTACCTTCCAGCTATGGGTTAAATAGTAGGAGTTGTATGTGGAAAAATCATTGTTATTCCCAAAAAAATTGTTAATACAATATTCACTTGTACAAAAAGAATTATTCTTGCAATCCGCAATCAATTATTTAGAGTCAATGATTAGTGTTTTTAAGCTTCATTTATAAATATATCTCTTAATGAATTCAGTAGATTTATTTTAACCCAATAGGTGATGTATTTGCAAAAATGATCAGAAAACAGTTCTTTTAAACTTCTATATTACTTTAAACATTATTATAGTGGATACTTGTATTTGAAATAGACGCCCCATATTTTATTTTTACTTTAAGCAGTGTGAATTCGGTCTATTATTAGTCTGCATATTTGAGGAATTTTAATAAAGAAAATGTGCTGTCCGGCAACAAATGAACCTGTGGCCCCCAGTACATGAGAAACCACTGTTTGATCTGCCATGTTTTACCAGTTGACTACGAAGGACGTCAGTTTTGGCAAGGCTCTATTTTCCATTTTAAGGAAAGTACATTTCTTCAATAAGATAGTTTTTTTCGAAATCCCATATCTACTCAGTCTAGTATCTGAAACATAAACAAAACAATTTCTAAAGAATTAATGGATTTACTTTCAATCTGACATTTTTATTACTTCAAATGTTGTTATAACGGATACTTGTGAAGTGGTTATTGCATGCTGGATCAAATGGTGATTTTTTTTTTATTTTTTATTTTTTCCTACAATCAGGGACAAGGCTGAAGTTATGATGTCCCAGGACTGAAATTATTCCAGTGTTATCTATTTTTCTTCACCCCAAGTTAGGCAATAAAGCCATTAAGATGCAGTGGGGGGAGTTACTGAGTGTGAGAGAATATGAGAAAAAAAAAAAAGCATTATTAAGAACAGAGAACACTAAAAGGACAGAAATTAAGAAGACAAACAATAATGATTGACATTGAATTTAAATTTTTGAAGATCAAAATTGACTGGAAAACAAGAAGCCGGAAAAGAGTTCCACAAGCCAGTCGAGAAACTATTAGCATATAAAATATGGTTACATCTAGCAATTTCAGCTGTAAAATAATGAGACCTAATTGCCAATCTAGTACTCTGCTTAAATTCATAAAGTCTAGGTAACAAAGAAGAAAGTGATCCAAACAATTACCTTGAAAAGATTTCTAGAAAAGGCACAGGGAAGATATGTTATGGCAATGTGAAAGTGACTGAAACAGATGCCAAGTCAGGACAAGTAACGTTGCAGATTCTTCTTTCTCATTTATCTAGAATCTCTAAATGCATAGCAGAACCAAAAGACCATAGCCATAAGAACCTTATTAGAATTACTACTGCAAATGCATTTCAGTAGTGTTATATGTATATCTTACTGAGAGGATTTATTGCTACTTCATTTATCTTCATTAGCTAGAAGCTGTGATTATTGTGTTCTTGGGGGTTAACTCTGGTAACACCGTTGTTACCTGCAATGTAACACAAAAAGAAATTCAATTTCTCAGAGGGCGAATTTGAAACTGTCCACGTCATTAATAAATATGTACTACAGATGTCCTTTTTTCGGTTAGGAATTTTCCTCATCCTTTGAATAAATTTTTGCAAATCAGATTTATGTATTTTCCTCGACTTTGATTTTATTGCAGAGGCACTTGCATAAACAAAGGGAGATAGTAAATAATTTTTATTAAATGCTGAACTGTCCTCTTAACCTTAACTTTTATAACTTTAAAAGAACCTTAGCATCCTTCTTCAAACCTCATGGACTGGTGCTACAGAATCACAAAGATCTCTACTAAAAATAAAAGAAACCACATCACTTGAACGTTCAACAATAGCAAAACCTAAAATAAATAGCACATGAAACTCAAAGAGAAAATGACATAATCAAGAGGTTGACACTCCTCACTACCTTCAAACAAAAGGTTAGGAAGGAAACCTTGATTAGTACTGGAAAGAGTGATAACAGCTACTGGACTTGTGAAATTTTCCTGAAAAAATTTTTTTTTTTTTGCTTAAAAACTCAATTTTTTTTGCTTACTTTTCAATTGCTGTTTAGTTTAATATTTTAAATAAGTCAGTTTTTCATACCATAATGAGAAAAACTTTCATTTAAGAAAATTCAGACAATTTAAGCTTGTTACAAGATGTTACCAAAACGTCTAGGTTACTGTTAGCACAAAATGGTAATGGTAACATTAGCCTTTTCCCTCTAAGTAAACATTTAGGATTCACTGACCAAACAGCTAGTACATCTTTCAGTTGAAATTCATAAAATTTTTCTCTTAAAACAATTTTTCAGGAAAATGGGTTTCTCACGTCTAGTAGCTGTTATTGCTCTTTTCAGTATTAATGGGTGTCTACTTCCTCAACCTTTTATTTGAAGTTTTGTTATTTGGTACAATTCTTTGTTTGTGAATTAGCAGCACCAGTCCACAATGTTCAAAGACGGATGATCTTTACCAAGACCCTCAGGTTTCACTCACCCAAAGTTCTTTTTTCACCATTGATCTTAGTATACAGTTGCATACAGCTGATAGCTTAGATACATCTGAACAGGTTTGATGCCATTCATGACATCCTTATGAATGTCAATTTGACAAAGCTATTTAAGAATATAACTCAAGTTATCAGGTTGATGTTTTGGTTTGGTAGCGAATTGCAGTGTTGGCCAAAACTACATCTGGTGTGCACTCTATCTTTGATTTATTGATTCTTTTACTACAGCTTATCAACCCTTTGCAGGTTATTTAAAGCCAGGAAATATTTTTAGATATTGTAAGATTTTGCTTTTCCTAATGTGATAATAATGGTTTACTGATACAAGTCTTACTAATTAACCCATAGCTGGCAGGAGAAGTGGTGGATTCCTACCTTTCTTAAGGGTATTTGTGTACAAGTTAAAATACCAAACCCAACATGAATTGGAACTTTGCTCTCTGTTTAAGAATTCCAAGCCATTATTCATTACACCACCTGCACATCCAAGCCTACAGCACTATATATTCTCAAGTGGTCACCCATCATGTGGCTGTAAGCAATTTCCTTTTTTCCTATACTAAATTTGTTATAACAGATCTGTATGCCAAGTTATTTGAAGTATTAATAGTATTTATTAAATCTGCACCCTGAATCGTTTTCTCAAATACAAATGAATTTTTTTTTTTTTTTTTTTCTGGTTGACTCATTTTGTAGAACGTAAAAATGTCTGCTGATAGATCACTAACTTGTCAAATGAACTGTTTGATCAACCTGTTTATTTATAAAACTGAAGCTAATCTCTACCAATTGTACTTGTTTTAAATAAGAAATAATATTCTTTAGGCCCCACCATCTTTCATGTGGGAGGGGTGAGTCAACTGGTAGCAAAAAAGTAAGCAAACCTTTTTTCTTTTTCTTTTTTTTTTTGTGTTGTACTTGTCTAGCAATGCAGTCCTGATGTGTTTGAGGAGAGCCTGTTGGTGCCTGCTTTGCAGTCAGGAAATTTGCATACACTGCTTGATCATATGTTACTCATTGATACCACACTTGAGAAATGGGGTCCGTATTTTACAAGCATGTGTAGATACCTTGTCAACCACAAATTCTACCATGTTCTCTATGAAGTACAACTTTTCATGAAGGCAAGTTTCTTTGATCTTTTCCATTTTTTTCAATTTACATTGTTGTTTTTCTTTTTCTTTTCTTTTTTTACGGGTTTTCAGTTATTGTTTTTCCAATTTTTTTTTTTTTTTTTTTTCAATTTTTAAATCTTTTTTCAAGTTTTTTTCATTTTTAAATTTAAAAAAAATTTTTTTTTTTTCCATTTTTATAATTTAATTTTTTCCTATTGCTTTATTTCATTTTATATTTCCTTTATTTTTTTCATTTTTTTTTTCATGTTTTTCATTTCTCCATTGATTTTTTTTTTTATTTTTGTTTATTTTTGTTTTTTTTTTGTTTTTTTTTTTATAAAATTTTTCATATTTCTTTCTTCTCTTTGTTTTTTTTCATCTGCTTTGTTCTCACAAAAATTTCCCACATTTGAAAGCTGACTGAATTGACAAATATTTCATGTTTATCTGCTGTCATAACTCTTTTTACACAAGATATGAAATTTGTACTCATGGTTTAACCAAATGTTATAGATCATACATTACGTAGTGTGCCATAAGTGTTTATCTTGAGACTGGTGTGTGTCTGGACTTTTATTATGACTGGTTTACAGAAATGCAAATTAATAATAGATGACAAACATGTGGCCATTTGGTTAGAACATTCACTTTCCAACCATTTTTTTTTTTTTTTTTTTTTATAAAATTAAATTTTTAGTTTTATAAAAATTTTTTTTAGGTTTATAAAATTAAATTACTTTTTTTAGTTTTATAAGATTAAATTACTTTGTTTTTAGTTTTATAAAATTGAATTACTTTGTTTTTAGTTTTATAAAATTGAATTACCTTTTTGATTTTATAAAATTACATTTTAAGTTTAAAAAATGACATTTATTGATTCATTTATTTATTTTTTTTCCTAATCATTCCTTTCAGGATTTCATTCGTGCTTCGGTGACGTGTACAAGGTACTTTTTTTTGGGTAGTGCTCAAAGCTACCGTGACTTGGCATCCCGAATTAACTTTCTGCAAAATGCAGAGCAGCACTTGCATTCTTACCTGGAGCCTTCACACTGGGGTAATGTACCTCGACCTCAGATCCTCACCAACTCCTCTCCAGGTGCAACCCCTCAGAGATCCGTCTGTCTCAAGTCCTCCATGGAAATGGAGGAAACGGCAGTCAGACTGGCAAAGTCCCCAGCCGAAATAAAGAAGTAAGTTCTGAGTAGATGTGGTTTTTACATTTTCAATTTTTTCTAATAATGAGAACTTTTTACAGTTTCAAGAGATTATTTTCAAATTTCAAAAGAGACTTTACACTGTAACCAAGTCTTAGAATGCAATGACTTTCAGAGGGATAAAACATGTCTGTTCAAAAGAGGCACCCTCTAGATGAATACTTACAGAATCTAATATAAATCCAACCAGCATCTATTTTTTTGACTCTAGTGTAAAACCCAACCTGGATCTATTCTCCCATGTAAAAGCTGTCCTATTTTCCTGAAAAAAAGCTGTCCTATTTTCCTGAAAAAAAGCTGTCCTATTTTCCTGAAAAAAAGCTGTCCTATTTTCCTGAAAAAAAGCTGTCCTATTTTCCTGAAAAAAAGCTGTCCTATTTTCCTGAAAAAAAGCTGTCCTATTTTCCTGAAAATAATTTTTCTTTTGCTTGGAACTGATCAACGTTTTTTTAAATATGTCCATTTTTCATGACATAATGAAAAAAAAATGTTTCATTTAAGAAAGTATAAATATAAGATTCTATTGAACATGAAGTGGAGGATTAGTTTTTCTTTTATATAAAGTTATAAACTGATCCCCCAGATTTAATATATACATTAATTTCCAGGTTCGCATGTGTAGACCTAATTATCATACGAGATCTGTCTGAAAAGTAACAGAACTGAGTGTTCTGTGTGAGCTATGGGTGAAAGAGGGATAAACGGATTGTGTTATCATCTGATTTAATGGAATATGTGTACACCTGTGTTCCCCCTCACTGGAATATGATTGGCGGGTGTCCGTCATAAATACCGACGGATGTGTAGGTATGATAGTCAAAGCCTTAGTCTGAGAGCTAAGTCTATAACAACGCCCATTAGACTACGCCATTGATCTATACTTCTTACCTGTGACTACGACATCTACCAGTCGATTACTGTTACCGTATTCTACTTGGTTATAGTAGCCAAAACCACTTAGCTACTGTGTTCAAATATATCCCTTTCCTGGACATATCATCATCTAACAAGATATCTTGGGAGTCTAACTGTAATCTTAGCTTTCTTTCTGCAACCATTGCATTTTTTTTTTTTTTTTCACGTGCAAGAGTTGTGAGAAGGACAAATCCTGGCTGCTTCACCCCAACAATGCACCTGCTCACAACGGCTTGAGCATCTGGTAGTTCCTGGCCGAGAAGAATCTCGACGTACTGGAACAATTCTCCCTATTCACCTGATCTGGCTACGTGTGACTTTTATCTTTTTGTCCAAGCTCAAGGGCATCGTAAAAGGGACCCATTTTGAAAATGTGGAGGCCACCAAGAGGGCCATAAGGAGGGAGCTGGGGAGCATCTAAGAAGAATCCTTTCAGCAGTGCATAGAAGCATGTCAGAAGGGTGAAAAAGTGTATTAGACTCAGGGGGTAAATTATTTGAAGGGGAAACCATGAACTTTGTTGTTTGAAATTAAAATAAATTGTTTGTGACACCATTCTTGTTAATTTTCAGACAGACCTCATAAGCATTTATCAAAATATCAATTTTATATTGGACATCATTTTTGATAACATGGGTAAACTAGTATTAATATAAGATTCTATTGGACATAAAATTGGGGATTAGTTTTCCTTTATATGCAGTAATAAACTGATCTCCCAGATTTAATATATATTAATTTCCAGATTCACATGTGTAAATTTAATTATCGTAAGTGTTTAACAAAATATCGAATTTCATATTGGACAGAATCTTGTATCAATACTAGTTTACACAAAACTAGTATTAATATAAAATTCTGTTGGACATAAAGTGGGAGATCAGTTTTCATTTGTATTAAGTAATAAATTAATCCCCCAGATTTTATAAATGTTAATATTTGGGAAATTGTAAACCAGTGAATAATTTCTGTAGATGACTTTGTGCAAAAATGAATGTGTCTATATTAAATAGATTATATATTAAATATATAATAAATGTGTCTATGTTCATAGATATATTTTTTAATCTCTCTTTTTCAGGCAAATTTTCCGGATCAATTTGCAAATTGAAGTGACCAAATTTCTTGAGACCTGCCTGAACAGAGCTGACAGCTCAGCTGCTAATGTAGCGGTCAACCATGTTGCCTCTCATAAGTATGGGCCACCAACGTTGTTTGGAAATACGCAGGTGCGCATTGACCTTGTCACTATGGTAAGTACTTTCTTTTACATCCAGTCTGCAACCTCCTTGCCACGGACAGAACGTTGCAAGCCCATTGCTATTTCCATGGCAAATGATTTGATGAATTACTGTCTGCAACCTCTTTGCCATAAACACAACGTTGCAAGCCTATGGCTATTTCCCTGGCAAATGTTCAAATGAACTTCACTCTGCTGCCTCTTATCCACAGAGGTAACAATAAAAGTCTATCGCTATTTCCATGGCAAATGTTCAGATTACCTCCTGTAATGAGTTGGTCGGTCAACTTGACACCCCCCAAAGCAAGTGGAGGTGGGCAGGCGCGAAAACTGTGATTGGTAGCTGGCTTGTTGGTGTTTTGCATGGGCGAGTTATCAAGCTCTATGTAAAGGGCTAGAATGAGAAGGAGGGCAGTTCATCTCAGAAGTGGAGACTGTGTCTGTCGCTATGACAGTAGGAGAGAGACAAAATTCTTTATTTGGTTTTTGTAACACATTTCAACACACCTCCATCCTTTAGTTCCACCAGTTCAGACATTTACATCTAGGACAGACCATGCCACTTCTACGGAGTCAAATCACCCACATTTCCACCCAAAATAATGAGAAATTTTCCCAATAACTGCCACTTTGTGGAACAGACTCCCACGTGGATGCTTCTTTGAATACTAAAACCTCTTCAGAATTTGTTTTATAATGGTATGAATATCTAGTGAACAACAAAGCTTTTCATATATTGGAATTGTTAATTCTTTCACTTCTATTATAAACAGGTTGGAATTTATTCTATCTTATTTACAAGCTTATAAAAATCATCTAGATAATAAATGCAAATGTCACTGTGTCACCCTTTTTACTCCTAAACTCCTTTACTAGCAAAACATATCATACCATTTTGGAATCAGGCCAACTCCGTGAGCAAATTAAAAATATCCCACAATTCTGAAATTTTGGATTTCCAAGTTTTCCTTACTTTTTTTTTTTTTTTTTTTTTTTGCAACAAATTTTTTTTGCACAATAATAGTTTTTATAATTTGAAAATAAATTTAGAAATAAATTTGAAATTAATTGTGAAATCCCACAAAAGTCACCTATGAAATAAAAATAATTGTTTGTACAGAAAGTAAGGACTTCCATACATCAAATTGTCTTTAAATTAAGTGGTGGCAGAAGAATTATCATTGAACTTATAAAAGGTAAGCTTAAATATTAATGCAGTGATCAATTTTGAGTTCTTCTGTAGTTTATTGTTGCCTATCACATCTACTCCTCCCTACCTATTGTGATGAAGGCCCAATCAAGAGCCTTCCACAAGAGCTAGCTTAAATGCCACCTGATAGGGGGACTTTTAAGCTAATAAAAGAATAAATTTAGAAACACACCAAAATACAGTTTATGCAGTAAGGGTCACCATATAAAATTATTTAATTACACAGCATCCAATGAATTGTTTTTTATGACTTGTGGGCTGTTGACCAAAAGTTTAATATTGAACACTAATATGATTTGGTTGAGTTGCAGTTGGTAGCCTTCCAAATACCCTTGTAAACCACTCATCTTATAGTCCAACTTGCTGATTCAGATCCTCTAACCACTTGCCATGGAAATACGAATAGGCTTGCAATGTTCTATCCGTGGCAAAGATTTTGCAGACAAAAGCCCATCTAAATACTTGCCAGGGATTACATCCTCCTACAGAGAAATAAACCCCTCCGTAAGCCTGATTCTTGTGCAATTTAGACATAACATAAACAGGTTGTAATTTTTTTTTTTTTTTTTTTTTTTGAAGTTGGAAAAAATAATAAGTAATTAAAAATTTAATAAAAGTAAGAAAGAAATGTGGTTTTCTTTTTCCTTTTGAAATGTTTGTTTGTTTCTCCAGGTGCTAATGAGCTGTGATAGTTGTGATGATGACCGAAAGAAAGGTTTTGAAATTGCTTTAAAAATCATTAAGGTAAGATTACCTTCCCTTTATTCTGTCTGAATTTCTCAGATGAGGAGTTACCATTATTTACACTATTGTCCTCATATTTGTTGCTCAGGTATATATTGATCAGGGTAACCTACAGGGAATTCTGAACTGAACTCTTTATTTAATCTACGGGGGATAGACTGTTCTCATTCAGTTGCCTATGTCTAAGCATAATACAGAATTTCCTTGTAGATTATCCAGATCAATATACATTCTGAAGGTCAGAGAGCTCAACAGCCAAAATGATGTGATAACAACAACAAAGATGAGGGCAATAGTCTGAATATAAATATTGTCAATGAGATTTCCTTGTTACTTTTCAGCTCAAGCTGAAGCAAACTTTTCTCTTTTTTTCTTTTTTTTTTCTTTTTTTCTTTTTTTTTCTTTTTTCTTTTTTTTTTTTTTTTTTTCTTTTTTTTCTTTTTTTTTTTTTTTTTTTTTTTTTTTTTTTTTTTTTTTTTTTTTTTTTTTTTTTTTTTTTTTTTTTTTTTTTTTTTTTTTTTTTTTTTTTTTTTTTTTTTTTTTTTTTTTCTTTTTTTTCTTTTTTTTTCTTTTTTTCTTTTTTTTCCCTTTTCTTTTTTCTCTCTTTTCTTTTTTCTTTTCTTTTCTTTTCTTTTTTCTTTTCTTTCTTTAATCAATTATTGTCAATTTTATCTTCATCTAAAATTCTTTTATAAATGAAAATAAAACGACCTAAAATATTACAAGTCCTCATTTTTTGTCTTTGTGCAGTGTCCCTATATGCCATCATGGGTCTCCACAGCTATCTTTTATAACTTTGCTGTAAACGCCATTTACAATCTCATTCAATGACCCTCTACTTTAAATGGCTCTTGGCCCTTTATTACCTAATCAAAAGTATGAAAGAAAAAAAATGTCAGGCTTGTCTTTATACCATCATTCCCAGTCCTTTGATCTTTTTAGGTAGGTTACTCACTGTTTCCTTCTGTCCCTCTTGTGTCCTGTGAGAGTCAGATTCTCCAAGCTCTCTTTCCTCATATGTCCTAAAAATAACACTTCTCAAATGACTTTGTATTTTTTTTTATTTATTAAATCCAAGTGATTTAAGCCTATTGGGACTTAAGCTCAGCCCAGACCTACAGTCTATCATTAAAGATGCTCAAAAAATGGTTGGCTCCCTGTACCGTTCCAGTAAGTACCTACCCACTCCTGCTATCCTCTACCTTTACAAGAGCCAGGTCAGGCCAAAATTGGAGTAATGCTGCCATATATTCATAGGAGCTGCCCAATTTTCACTCCCCAGTCTCAATAAAGTTCAAAACCTCTCCAATAGATGAAACATTGCAAGCCTCTCACTGATCTATCACTATTTCCATAGAAAGTGTTCAGATTAACTACATTCCTTAGTTCAGCAGTTCTAACTTTCATGGCTAAGTACCCGCCATGCCACATACATTATAGTGAACCACCCCCATTCCCTTTGTATTTCATTGGTGAGATATAAGTTCCACTCAAGCAGCTTTTTTCCCCACAAACCATTATTCTGTGGAATCAACTCCCAAGGGGATGCTTCCTAATCACTTCAATCTTAACCTGTTAAAGTCTAGTGTTAACCGTTATCTTCTCTACATATTCATATAAACTGTACCTCTAACTCTGTAACCCTCTACCTCAAATGGTTCTTGGGCCTTGTATAAGGTGAACGTCATTTTTCAAAAAAAAAAAAAAAAAAAAGAATTTCCTGGTCATTTGATTGAAGAGTAAAAGTTTACTTAATTTCAGTAGTGCAATTTTTTTTCCAGTTATTTTCAACCAAAGAAAGATTGTGTTGCACCAATTTTACTAGTATGTAAGGTGCTGGTTTCCTGCATTGAACATTTGCATTTAATCTATACATCCTACCTCATCTGTGGGCAGGCATCATCGGCTATAAAAACAAAAGAAAAAAATCAGACGATCGTTTTCTGACAATTATTTTCTTCTTTCTAGGAATACAAGCTGGATAAGAAAACTGTCTTTTGTCATGCCGGCCGTGGGTTGGTCAAGTTACACCGTTATGATGACATCAAGTATTTGGTCAACTGGATTACAATTATGAAACTTGGTGACAGTAAGATGTGTGATGCAGTCATAGATGCCTGTATGGTGGGAATTGCTGACCAAAGGCATACGTTTAGTGAGGTAAGTGCAAATCAATTAGTATGAATGTGAAACAATAGCAGCTGAATTTAGTTTAATGAAATAAGCAATTTGGCAGGGAGAGGGGATGAGTAGAGATATGAGGAACTGAATTTGTATGGGGGAGAGATGGGCAAGAGCAACTGGATTTGTATGGTGGGGAGAAGACAAGAGAATTTATAGAGAGGGGGCAATAGCAGCTAAATTTGGATAATGAAAGTTTCTTTTTTTTCCTTTTACCTCTTTCTTTTCTCTTTTTCTTTTTTTCTTTGTCTTTTCCCTTCTTTCTTTTTTTTTGTCTTTTCCCTTCTTTCTTTTTTTTTGTCTTTTCCCTTCTTTCTTTTTTTTTGTCTTTTCCCTTCTTTCTTTTTTTTTCCTTTTCCCTCCACCTTTTTTTTTTCCCTTTTCTTTAATTAAATTTGTTAGCGTTTAAAGTATGAAATCCATTTTACTATTAAGACCAAAACCCTCACTAGTCTAATACTCTAATCTCTAGGACTTATTCCAGCTTTATAATAAAAAAAAAAATCCTTTTTTGAAAACAGGTTTTGATTTTAACATGTTGAGATGAGCATTTTAATCATATGACCATCCTAGCAAAAATAGATACAGTATTTTGCTTTTTTTTTTTTTTTGTTATTTTTTTTTTTACATTCCCATAAATTATAAATGTAATTTTCACTCTCATTTACAAGTGAACTAATGTATGGAAATGGTAATGCTTCAAAAACTCAAAGGAACTGAAAAACACTCGGTTGGCTGAAAACAGAAAAGAAGTAAAAAAGATTAAAAGGAAAAACCTCATGAAAACTAATCTTTAAATGTATAATTCAAATCACAAAAATTTCCCAAGAATTAATGGATTTTATTTTTTAATCCAGCATTTTTATTACTTCAAACATTTTTACTGGATACCCATGTTTGAATAGAAGCTCTGTTAAACAGCGTTTAAAAAAAAATGGACTATCTACTCAAATACGAGTATCAGCTAAAAATAACATTTGAAGTCCTAAACATCTAAACACTCAAAATGTCTAAAATGAGAAATATCTCAATTTTTTAAAAATGTTAAAAAATAATCATTTTCTGTAATTCTTTTTTTGTCATTTCCTAGTCGCAAATTAAAGAATCAGGAAGCCTCATCGACTGCATGAAGGCAGATTCGAATAAGGTGAGTGTTTTCTTATTTTCTCAGTCTTATTATTGCTGAATCGACTGTTGCCTTCCCAGGAATGACATCAAATGAAAGTGTAAAAACAGGTTTTAATACCAGAAATGCTTTGTAAAAAAAAAAAAAATATTACCAGCAACAAATTTTTGTAAAAAAAAAAGAAAAAAAAAACAATACATTTTAAAAAAAAAAAAAAATTTACTGTTCTATAGGAATAAAGTGTCACTGCTGACACTTGTGTGTGAACATAGATCGCCAGTGAACAAACAGGTGATGTCATTGTTGAACTAAGTAGATCATGTGACCATAGAGGAAACGCATATATAGAGGAAGTCCCATTTCTATAGTCTTTCTTCTATTACTAGAGACCACTATTCTCTTCTCTATCTCTAAAAGGCAGTGTGTGTGTGTGTGTGTGTGTGTGTGTGTGTGTGTAACAAATGCATGGCCGTAATTTTCGACAGATTTTCACCAAAATTTACATGCACATGCTCCAAGTTATGGAGAAGGCCAAGACCGACTTTGCATTTCCCAACTCCCATCGATAGTGGAAATAATTGATTTTTTTTCATGCTTCTACAGCAGTTTTCATGTAGTTTGCGGCCATTTTCTACTGGCCAGAGTGAGAGCCTATAGCTGGCTGCCACGAATAGACAGGAAGATTCTATTGGCCAGAGTGAGAGCCAACAGCTGACTGACATGCATGCAAAAAAAATCGATAGTTGCAAATTTAAATCTGCATGGCACTTTACTCCAATTGGCTCATTCACTTGTTTAAACTCAACGTTAATTCTGATTCCGTAGAACACTATATGAATACTATTAGTACAAGTATTATCCGAAGGCATCTGACACCAGTATTGTTCATCAGCGTATTATAATTGGTATCTGCAATTACAAAGCTCTACTACGTTGCCATTGACAAAGTCTCAAGCAAGTGTACGTTGTCATAGACAAAAGTGGCAACAGTGATCGTTTGAGGTCAAAACAATTACCACCAGCAATAAAAATCTTGTCGGCATTGAGACTGATATGCTGTAAACCAAACCAAACCAGAAATGTTTATTCAGCTTAAAATACCTCTTATTTGATAGAGCAAGATTGCAAAGGAATGCAATAAGCACAATAGATAATAAAACACAAAATAGGCAGGTGTTGATAACAATTGTTTACGAAAGGTGCTTTTTTTTTTTTTTTTTTTACAATAAGGTTCACCCTGTACAAAGCCTGTGGCCACTCAGAGTAGAGGGCAGTTTGTATGGTGTTTTATCCTCAAAGAGGTTACAAACAGACAAAGGTGGTACTCTAGTGAAAGAACAACAACATGCATGTAGATGAAAGAAGAGTTTTATTGTAAAAGAGAATACACTACTGAAAGACAGGGAATTGGGCGGCAGGCTAGTAATTCCCGAAGCAAGCCCCTAGGTATAATTATTTACCCACTGCCCCATGCAGCAAGATGTAGCACAAGGCCAAATTTTAAAGTAGGGTATCCGAGCCCATAGGCTTGAGCAAAAATTCCCTATAGACCACATAATAATGGAGTCAGTTTCCTGAGACAAGACTCTGCCCTTTGGGCATAGCCTCATCTGGAGGATACCCTCTGACATGTGCCAGGTAAGTAGCCCTTAGCTATATTGTGTGCTCACTACATATAGCTACTGATATAGTCTGTTCACATAGGCAATAGGAAGTGTTGGACATTCCATTACAACATATGGATAGGAGGGGAAGGTAACAGTTAACTCTAGACTTGAACAGGTTAAGATTGTTCCACAGAGCAGTGGTTCACAGAAAAAAGCTGTTCAAGTGGAACTTAATTCTCACCAATGGAACATTAAGGGAATGTGGGTTGGGGTGCTACAATGTAAGGGGCATAACTGGTCCTTGCCATGAAGGTTAGGCTTGTCAGAACCAAAGAATGTATTTAATCTGATTATTTTCCATGAAAGTAGTGATAGAGCAGCGAGATGCTTGCCACAGCCTGCCTCTGAGAGAGATGTTGGAGGGTGAAAAATAATTTGTCAGCCACAAGTACTCAGAGACTCTATCAAAGATGGAGAGTGCAGTCTATGCAGCTCCTGCACAAATATGGCAACAGTACTCCATTCTCGGCCTGATCTGGCTCTTGTAAAAGTAGAGGATAGCATGTGGGGTCAGGTATTTACTGGAGCAGTTACAGGAATCCAAACATTTTACCTGCATCTTTAGCAATGGTTCATATGTATAAATTCCACTTGAGGTCAGGTGTGAGTTTAGGCCTTAATAATCACTCAAGACACAGTGCCTCTCCAAAGGACATCTGTTCATTGTGACTAGCAGTAGTTCAAGGTCCAATTGACAATATTTATGATGTCAACAATATTTTTTCTTTGGGAATCAGTCTAATTAAATGTCTTTTGTCATGAAGACAGGAAATTCACAGAAATAAATTAAAAAAAAATTAATAAAGAGAGTATACAAGATCTGTCATGTTTTGGTAACATTAATCTTACAACAAAAGCCTATTATACAAATTACATACTTTTTTGGTGATAATTCCATGCTGTGGGGTTGTGGCTTCATATTCCTCCATTTGTTGACAAAGTAACCAGTTTAAAACTTCAAATGATTTTAAGGAGATCGCATCATACAGTAGATATAAAATTAGCTTATGTACTACTGGCCCTGGCTACGCTATTGACCAAACTATATATCCATTTACTATAATAAAAAGTACAGCTGTATTCAAAATGAAAGTGAGTTTGATAAAACTGATGTTTTACTTAATTGTATCCAATAATAATGCATGTAATATTCACATATTAGTATCGTATTATAAAATACAAACAGCAAATATGCATCTTTTCCATTGTTTACATTTACAAGATGTTTAGCTGTTTCTTGTTCAGTTGATTATGGCTGTATGTGTTTATGCAAGGAGTATAGTATTACTGTTATGGTAATTTACCCATGCATGCATAGACTCTCCCAGCTATAAATAGGAGCAGGTGCTGTCTTTTTGAGGAGGGAAGTTTCCAGTAGTCAGCTGACGGTTGGACTGAACATTCTTGGTGTAAAACTCACGTTTGCATATGTTTATTTCTGGCCCTAACAAGGCCACAACACTAATGCTACTTTTATCACTCTCTTTTACTTTTTTTGATACACGAGATACATGATGAAATCATTTTTTATAAGTAAAAATTTGGGGATCACACAATACACAAGTATATATGGTATATCAGTACATAAATAGTACACACCAGTACTTGCAATTTTAAATCGAAAAATAATACAATAATTTATACAGATATAACATTGAGATATGTGTTTTTTGATTTTAATTTAAAAACTGACCCTCTATTTTTATTTTTATTTTTTATCCTTATATATTATGAAAAGAAACACATTTTCTGCTGAAATTTCTTTAGAACAAAAGAAAGTTGTTTTTAAACAATACTATCTCCTATTTTATGTTTGTAGATAAATGCTTACATCCTTCTGGGTAAACTGAAAACCGCCTACCTCTTAGCAGTGAAGAGCAACAATATTGAAGAGATCAAACATATTAGCCGTGAAGCTGGTCGACTTGGGCAAATGGCTGTCAAAAGTATCTGTGATCGTTACTTATTACAACAGAACCCTTAGCAAGATGAAACGGTCAGTCTTTTATTACCTGACAGTAAGTATACATTATTTTCTTCTCCCCTCCCCCCCCCATGTGTTTAAATTTATTAACACTCCTAATTACAAAGTCAGTCCTTTTAGTCAACTCCACAATAAAAATAAGGCTGGCAGAAAAGCCATAGTGAAGGTTTGCAACAATGAAATCAGGCATGGTTGATCATGTATGGAGGGAAAAGGGTAGTCAGCAGCCCCTGTGGAATGAAGTGAAAATACTGGACAAGTTAGGAAATACTGGAGAGTTAGATGTCTGAAAGCATATGCTAAGCTACGAAGATCTCCTTAGTAGGCCTAGCATAAAAATAAATACGATATGGGAGCCACACATAATGAAAGAAAGACAACAGATCTTCAACAGCTGTAACAAAAGTGAAAGCCTCAGTGAGTGCAGTCAAGTATGACAAGCAGAGACAGCACTGATCAGCATTCAGGTTAAGTTTAGAGCTCCAAGTTCTCCACCGAGAATTGTCTCATGTGACAATAGTTTAGTGGATTAAGGCGTTGATTTGTGAATTTGGTGACATAGTAATTGTGAGTTTAGCCAGGTAGTGTGTACTTGGACACAGTGGAAAATGGGGAGAGCAATAACTGAGCATTATTAAAATAAAAACTAGATGACATATCCCTTGACATGGGCAGTGGGATGAGAACAATCTATCCCCATAGATTAAATATAGGGTTAAATTCAAAATTCCCTGTAGGTTTCACAAATCAACATTCACCTGGTGAAACCCAGAGGATACAATGGCCAAAATGTTGTGATAACACTAACAAAGACAAGGACAATATTCTGCCTGTAAATAACTTCACAATAGTTTAAAATAAGCAATAAGTTTATCTATGAGAGATTGTGTCTTGTGTTGTTACTAGTCTTCTTATCAGGTTCTTGTTCGATCACCAAAGTTAAGCAGTGCCAAGCATGGCCAATATTTAGATGGGGACTACTAGGGAACACCAGGTGCTGTAAGCAACCTCCTACAACCTTAAATATATTTTGGCTTTAAATAACAATATAAAGGGTTGGTAAGCCATGAGAAAAACAAATCTCTTTCTCTTACTAGTTTTTACAATAATGTTAGATAATCAATTTGACTAAATCTGAATCAATTCCACAACTGATGTCAGAATTACCAAATGTTATTTTATACTGTATTGAAAATTCCTACTAATTTTATTTTATTATTTTTTTACACTAATGTTCACCCAATATAAGGCCCAAGAGCCACTCGAGGTGAAGAAATAAGAGTACAGAGTTGAAGTAGACTTTAGAAGGAACCAGAAACCCAATTCCAAACAGGAAACAAGGGATAAGCCTCTACTCCTGTACAAAAGACTGGAGTGGAGTTTGAACTGATTAAATGTTTTTCTTTTCTATTTATTAAACCCAAAGCAAGCATTTAAGTAACTCAGTTACTAATTCTTGCACAAAAATTAAGTGGGACAAGTATTAGTCCAAATCTTATGTCACTTAAATAAAAAATTAAAATTTAAAAAAAAAAAAAAAGTAATTTTTCAGAATTTCTGAAAACTCCTTTTTTTTTTTTTTTTTTTTTTTTTTTTTGTAAAATACAGGATGTGCATTGTGGTATATGTATATATCAACTCAGAATGAAAATTGAAAAGCCATGTTCGAATTCCAGTTGAGTTTGTTACATTTACCTACACGTAAATATCCTTGAGAATGCCATGAATCCATTTCTTCTTGAACTATGGGTTGAATAGCAGGACAGATTGGGTCCTACAGCCTTGGTTGGCAACCAGTCTACTGCAGAAAGTAACAACAACCTACTGCTGGGAAAATCTCCTGCCTAGTCAATCATAAATTGGAAAAGTCATGATCGTCCAGGCGTCTATCACATATGGCACTTTGACTGAAAATACAACTAAATATTAAATATGCCATGTTTTATCCTTACAAGAGTTATATTAGACAAATAAAAAATGAACTATTGCAGCCATATTTGGGCTTAAACTACCTAATACTCACTTTCAAATCTTGTTAGAGTTCGAAATTGTTGCATGTACTTGTGAGGTTAGGGGTCAAAGAATTATTTTCCACTCTACAACTTCTTAACTGCAAATATAATGTTGCAAGCCTATCACAAATCTATCAGTATTTCTATACCAAATGTTCATGGAAGCTCCATTTTTCAACTCCACCAGTTCAGACCTTTGCTGCTAGGAGATGCCGCGTTACTTCCACTTTAGTTGAATCATCCTCGCTTCCTCCGTATTCCAAAATGTCAGAAGACAGTTTCACTCAGCCAGTTTCTCTCCCCCCCCCTCCAAAGAACAACTAATTTGTAGATCAGATTCTTACATGGTTGCTTCCCTGAACACTTCAGTCATAACCTTTTCTGGTCAAGGATCAATGCTTATTTATCATCCTTATCTCCATTTCTTACTACTTCCATTCATATCACATACCACATTGCCAAACAAGGCGATAAAGCCACCAAGATGGAAGTGGTTACTGAGAGTGAAAGAATCTGAGAAGAAACATTAAGGAAAGAGGACAATAGAACAGGATTGAAGGAGACAGAAAATGACAGTTGATGCATTTTGATTGCATTTACAATTAATGAAGATACATGTAACTCTGACATAATTACTCATGATTAATGAACTCTTTTTCCTCAATGTCATCGCACTGCAAAACTGATGCAAAGCGCAATTTGACAGGACTTTATGTATTGCTGAATATATGTTAAAAAATGTTTCTATTTGCACAATTAGCAATAGTATATGTTTGGAGACTTTGTATCAATCAACCCTCATATTACTCAGTGCCATCACACTGCAAACTGATGTAAAGCACATTTGAACAGGACTTTACGTAATGTTGAATATGTTAAAAATGTTTCCATCTTTTTTATTAGTGATGCAGAAAGAGTCTTTACTTATTTACATTTATATATAAACTTTGTAATTATGACTATGCCCGTTAGTTAATTAATGGCTTGTAAATTTTAACACTTCCAAAGCAAAACTGCTTTCATTTAACCACCGTAGAGAACCTCTTTCTGCCTGCCATCAACATGGCTGATGCTAGATTTATGGAGTCTATGCCTTCTTGGCCCGCACATTTTCAACTGATTTGAAGTGGAGCAACTACATTGAATCAATAGCTGCATCTGCTACAAGGAAAGTTGGGTCATTGTATCATGCCAGAAAACTTTTCTTGTCAGAATCCATCTTGCACATTTGCCAATCTACCATTCATCTATGTATTGAATATTGCTGCCATATTTGATCCAGTTTTCCTGCTATTCATCTTGAGGTTCTTGACAAAATCCAAAGAAGGATCTAAAATACAATTGATCCTGACCTGGTAGTCACTTTCTTACCAATGTGGCTTCCCTCTGTCTTTTCTACAAATATTTTCATGGCAACTGCTCTGACAAGCCTTTTTTCTTTCCTGGTGCCTCGACTGCATGAATTTATGTATGCTATTAGATTGGCATCTAGGTCCCTTTCATTTACTGTTGAAATAGCTAAATGCAACCACCACCTTTAGTCTAACAGCTTTTTTCACATTTCTTGTTTGTGGAATTCCCTTCTGTTTACTTGCTTCTCTGATAACTACAATCTTCAAGCATTTAAATGCCACATCAATCATCATCTTCTGTCTTCTTAAATCCTGTTCGTCTTTTGTCCTTTCCTTAATCCTCCCTATACTCAGGTTTCTCTTTCACTTTCACTCCCTTGTATTTCCACCTTGCTTGAAACAAAATGATTAAAAAAAAGAAGTCCTTCTATAATGGGATATAGCCATAAATGTTGAGACCATGTTGCATGCATCAACATGCATTTTATTTATTCTTTTGCTTTTGCAATTAAATACTGATTGATGCTTTTTTGTAAAATAATTTTTGCCCCCAAGCAAGGTGAAAAAGCCACTAAGACGCAGTGGTTATTGAGAGTAAAAGAATCTGAAAAAACATTATTATAGATAGAGAGAGAGGACAATAACAGAATGGGATTCAAGGAGACAGAAGATGGTGATTGACATTGCATTTAAAATTTTGAAAGTCAAAGTAGACTGGAAGCCAAAAAGCTGGAAGTGATTTCCACAAATGAGAAGTGTGAGAAAAGAAACTGTTAGCATAAAACTTACAGTTCCATCTAACCAGTTCAATAGTAAAATGATGAAACCTAGCTGCCAATCTATTGCTGCACTTAAATTTATAAAGATACCAATATGGAAACATTCATCAGAACAATTACCATGAAAATATTTATCAAAAAGGCATAGGAAAGCTATGTTGCAACGGTCGGAAAGTGCCTGAAAAATTTAAATGCAATGTCAATTGTTAACTTCTGTCTGCTTCTTTTATTATTCTCTCTCCTTAATAACGTGTTTTTTTTTTCTCATATTTTTTCACACTCAGTAACACATTGTGTCTTAGTGGCTTTATTGCTTTGCTTGAGGTGAAATGATTTTAAAAAATAAATAAAAGTTTATAGTAATAAGATATTTTTAATTAAAAATTCTATTCATGGCTTTAAAAGATATGTGATATACCAAATGTATTTGTGAGTTTTTTGTCTTGTTTTTTGCTGTAACTTCTTGTTGTACTGGAGTTATCTCCCATGTGACAAGGTCTTTGTTATGATAGTGGCAGACTGTTCAAAAATGTTTACAACGCAGGGAAATGAAATGACTGACTCCATGATAAAGCAGAATACTGCAATAATAATTGGAAAAATTTATTTAAAGACTCACATGTGAAAACATAATAATAATAGTAAGGACATCAAATCTCATTTTGATAACATGGATAAACTAGTATGGATATAGGATTCTACTGGACATAAAGTGGAGGATAGGTTGTCTATTGTTATTAAGTAATAAACTGATCCCCCAATATTACTACATATTAGTAACTGGAAAAATATTTTTAAAGGTTCAGATGTGAAAACCTATTAATAATAATAATAGCAAGGTCTCAAAATCTCAATTTGAGAGAATAGGTAAACTAGTATGGATATAAGATTCTATTGGACATAAAGTGGGGGGGGGACTTGTTTTCTATTGTTATTAAGTAATAAACTGCTCCCCTAATATTACTGCATATTAATAGTTGGAAAATGTATTTAAAAACTAACACATGAAAACCTAACAATATTAAGAACATCAAATCTCATTTTGACAGTCTGGGTAAACTAGTATAAATATAAGATTCTGCTAGTCACAAAGTGGGGGATGGTTTTATTAAGTAATAAACTGAACACATAAAATTTACTAAATATTAACAAGTTATGAAAATGGTAGAATGTTCTAAAATGTTTACAAAACTTGAGGGTGAAAAGACCGACTCTGAAAGTAGAGTATAACAATAATAATTGGGAAGCGGGTAATGTATTTAAATTTTAAGACACACATGTGGAAATCTTCATGAGGACTTAACAAAAGATGTTGAGATATAGTATTACACAACAAAATCCAAAATTACCTCATATGGGGCAGAGATAGATCTATTTCAACCAATGAAAACTACATCAGTCTTATTCAACCCTGGTGTATAGACAGAGTTCATGTCAGAATTAGAAATTTAACTTTGACAGCCGTTGAAAAGTTGATACAGAATTTATCCATTTCAATGTTTCAGTAAGTGGTTAGGGGAGAGTGAAAGGTATTAGTCTTAAAGGGAAGAGCTTTTATAAAATTAACCCAGATATTAACCTTATGACATTAATTTGGGGTTATATGAAGAATGAAGTGTTAATTTGAAGCTAAAAGAGGACCAAAAAGGGAGCTTTATAAAAAAAAAAAATTATATATATAAAAGTAGGTTCCTACTTAAAAAAACAATAAATTATACTTAAAAATAAGATATATTTAAAAGATTAAAAATAAGTCATATTTAGATAATTTATATTAAATTTAAGAAAGAATATATTTAAAATAAATTTTACATTAAAGAATAAAATTTAATTAAAAATATAAGATAAAATAAATTATACATTTTTAACTTTAAAGATAAATTAAATAAAGTTATATTAAAAAAAAAAAAAAAACCATGCAAAGTTATATTTAAAAACCTAAAAAACATTTTCAAAAAATATAGATGACGAGGTGGAAGTGATAAAAAGATAGAGTTTTTAGAACAGGGGACAATTATAAGATATAATTAATATAGTGAAAAAATGGAAATATAAACATTAGAAATAGTTATATATTCAATGTTGGAAGAGTTAGAAAATTAAAAACTAACAAAGTAAAATCTATATTATAGAAGTTTAAATTTGTTTTTATGTCACAAACATTTACCCAGAGTTTATATATAATATATATATATATATATATATATATAGCATAATGAGAAGCCATGTATACTTTCTTAATATGTATATATATATAGGAAAAGTTGCAAATTAAAAACATAATAATGTTTTTTTTATGAAAGTATTTATTTATATATATATTTGATATTTCAGATTGACCTCAATCTTTTTTCAAAAATAACTGTTTGTTTACAAGTAGCGTCTGTCGCGAGATATGGACGTCACGTGACATGGAACGCCACTGTGTTCGAATATTCTTAATGTAAATCTAACTGTAATAATATTTTAAATGTTGTTTTAAAAGAAAAAAAAAAAAAAATTTAACTATATCTAAAAAAATGTTTAACTATTGAAATATTTATAAAGATTTAAAATACCCAAGTTATTTCTGAAGAAAGATTGAGGCCGATCTGAAATATCAAATATATATATATAAATAAATACTTTCATAAAAAAAAAGTGTGTGTGTGTAGTTTTACTCTCTGGGTAAATTCATTATTTTGTGTGCGTGTGTAAAGAACTACAACTATTAAATTAAAAAAAAACAATAACATATAAATTTGTTTTTAATTCTTTTTATCTTTAAATATTTTTAATGTAATTATTTTAATGAATTATAAACAGAAAAATGAAAATCTATAAAGAGAAAAAGGCACTATGTGAAAAAAATAAATATGTATATTGAATTTAATAAGAAACTGAAAAAATTTTGGAGCATGAAGGCGAAAGTCATACCACTCCTTATTGGAGCACTGGGTATAGTCCAGAATAGCATGAGAAAAAAATACTAAATTAAAGCAAGAGTTGGAACCATCTATGAGAGATTGTTACTGAAAACAGTTAAAATACCGAGAAGACTGTTGGAATAGTGAATAGGCTTCCTGCCACTTGAACCTGAGTTTTTCCTCAATAATTAAATACTAATTTTTTTATTATGAAAAAAAAATAGCAATTAATCTTTGTCACATTGTCTATGTCATCTTTAATTTTTTAATTATTTTTTTTCCAGAAATGCTCCCTGTGTTCCTGTGGTCTGTACTAGATTTTTTTCTTGTCTACAAGACACGAGTTTTCTTCATCTCAACAAGCCGATTACTGGTGCCAATGTATGATAAATTCTTTCTGAATGAACATTAACTCATTTTCAGATTTATAAAGAAGAAAAACAAGCAAAACAACACTTCTCTTTGGCTCTCTTTCTTTCCTTCTTTCCTTTTCTTTTTATTCTTTATATACATAAGTATTTATGTATAACATACATACATGCACGCACACACACACACACACACACACATGCCTATATATAAGGGAATTGTATGACAAAGTGGAAAAGGTTTACTTGTGACGCATTTCAACCTTCAGGACTTCATCAGACTAAATTTGTTATTGTAGGACTACATATGCACACGGACAAGGGGTGATGGGAATTTTAGAATTTTTTTTTAATTTTTTATCTAGCCAAATTCATTTAGAGTATTTTTATTTCCATCACTTTTGTAAGTAGGTATTCCACGCTGTGATATCAGAAGATCTGCCTGGAACAGTCAAATGTAAGAGCAGGGTGAAAATTTATTGTAGATGACCTTTCAATTAAGGTACTCTCTAGACAGTTACATTGTAATGAATTATTTTCTCCTTTGATCAGACTATCATTTTTTTATGTCAAAATTGTGGTCAGTCTCATTACAGTGGGCAACCAACGCATGTGACATATTATTTAAATAAAAGATTATATGAACACAAAAGGGACATTTTTCAAAATAATGCGACAAATGTGTTGGGTGCCTACCATAGTGAGACTGATCACAATGTTGACATAATTGCAAGATCATCTACAGTAAATTTGCAGCCCGGCCCTTTCAACATTTCACCATTCCTGGCAGATCTAATAACCACAGTGTGGAATGACTATTTACAAAAGTGACGAAAAGAAAAATACTCTAAATGAATTCAGCTAGATAAAAAAATTCTAAAATTCCCAGCAGCACTCTGTCATGCGCATGAGTAGTTCTACCAACATAACAAACTTAGTCTGATGAAGTACTGAAGATCGAAATGCATCACAAGTAAACTTTTCCACTTTGTCATACAATTTCCCCAATATTGTTCTTGATATATAAAAAATATATATCATTATCTCATTCATATATATATATATATATATATATATATATATATATATATATATATATATATTTAGAGAGAGAGAGAGAGAGTTTCATTTTTCTATCAGCAGATTGTGGTTTGTCTGGTGTGCAATATTCTCTAAGTTTGTAAGTAGGTCACAACCGATGCACTTCATGACCCATTCACCATTCATCCTGTTTTGTCAAGAATTGTCGATATCTATTTTCATTAAAGTTTTAGACAGCTACTTGATCCTTTCCTGTGATAAGCCGTGCAATAGATTTGCCCTGCCTCCTCATTCATCATGATATTCCGTTAGATGCAAGTTGTCATCATTCATTTGCCATTAAAACAGTGCAATTATTTGACCCCAAAAGTCCAATATTAAAATAAAATAATAGTTACTCAAAGTATCACAGATTATTGAAAAGTCTGGCAGAAAGAAAAAAAAAACATATCCTTTTACAAATAAGCCAGCATGCAAGATGCTAATATTCACACCATTAAATCGTAACTTCTTTTTGGTTGTTTGCTATTCTTCATGGGTAGCAAGCATGCTTGCTTATGAATTGTTTTGTTTCTCACAAAATCTTTATAGGAGTAAATTTTCTACAAAGAGTTTGTGTTTGTCTTATAAAAAAAAAAAAAACTTACTGTTTACTAACATCTTAATTGTTGATGCATGTCAAATATTTTTGAGCCACAAATCAAGAAAAACGATTTTTTTTGGATTTTTTTTTATAATAATCGTCCCATTTACAAAATTTGAAATGATACTAATCAATTTCTTGCCTTTGGCCTCATTTGATAAATTATTTTAGATTGCACAAAGTTGAAAGAGCATAACGTTTCTTTGCTTTTTTTTTTTTTTGCTTTTCCTTTTTTTCTCTTCTTCTCCCTCTTCTCCCCAGACTGGTTTTGAATTTAGAAATTTTCCTTCCCCTCAACTGGTTGCCACCCAAGGGCCCAGTCTGTCTTGATATTTATCCATAGCTGGGAGGGAGAAGAAATGGATTCATGCCTTTCCCAAGGGTATTAGCATATATGTGAATGTATGGAACTTAACTCTCTGATTCCTCAATACTCCACCATGCCGCCAATAATAATACAAATCAATAATATTTAATAAAATATGTAAAATTTATTCAAATCCTGGCTAGCAGTATTTTAGTCAATAAAGTATTTGATAGATAACTGTAGTGGTAATAGATTTATCAGATCCTGATGATCAGTGTAACATGAAACTCTAGAGTTGGTCAAGAGATAAGTCACTTTGGGATTTATTAATTTATCAGTTAATCATAAATCTATAAAAGTAAGCACTTCAACATGGTTTAGTGGTTAACAAGCTTGTCTCATTAGATCAATTACGACTGAGTAGTGAGTGCAACCATCACTAGGTGCTCCACACTTTTGGCATGGTGTGCCACATCTAGGCTTAGAAAATCATTAGAGCACTTCGATGTTGAGCAATAGTTAGCCAGCTTCTTGATAGATCAATTATGACTGAGTAATGAGTTGAATTCAATCCTCACTGGGTGCTCCATACTTTCAGGCTTGTGCTACATCTAAATTGCCATGAATCTATAAAAGAGAACTATTTATTGATTCAGTCTCATGATAGAATGTTCTGGATCCCAAAATATATATATATATATATATATATATAATTTGATCCAGAACATTTTATCAGGAGACTATATTGATAATCATTCCCTTTCTTTTATAGATTCATGGAAATTTACTAAGAATAATTATATACTTTTAGAGGATTTTAATAAGTAAAAACTTTTTCTGTTGGAATTAACTCCAACTCGTAAATGTCAATTGTTATCTTCTGTTTAATTCTTGTCCTTTTTATTGTTCTCTCTCCTTAATAGAATTTTTTCTCATATTCTCTAACAATCAGTAACTCCTTGTGTCTTAGCAGCTTTATTGCCTTGCTTGGGGAGAAATGATTAAAAAAAATACTACCAGGTAACCAAAAAAGTTCTGTCTGTTTTTAAAGGAAAAAAAGAAAATGCTTCACAGTATGTGTAACTTATATTTAGTCTTCGAAGTAATCGCCATCAGCATCCAGCACCTTCTGCCAACGTGTCTCCAGCTGTTCAATGCCCTTGCGGTAGAACTTGAGGTTTTTGACGCAAAGAAGTCCGTGAGGGCTTTACGAAAGTCTGTTTCATTGGTCATTGGTGAAGGATTTCCCACAAAGATGATTATCCAGGGAATGGAAGAGGTGGTAATCGGATGGCACAAGGTCAGGTGAATAAGGTGGATGGCACAAAGTCTCCCACCCAAGTTGCTGTATGGTATCCCTGACCACTCGCGTGACATGCGGCCTGGCGTTGTCATGAAGGAAAAGCATACCTTTGCGATTCACCAGTGCTGGCTCCTTCTGGCACAATGCCTGTTGCACACATTTCAATTGCTTCAAGTATTGGTCTCCAGTGACCGTTTGGCCCATTGGTAGCAGTTCATAATGAACCACTCGATGACCTGTCCACCAGACACAAGGCATAATCTTGCGTGGGTGCATAGGCGGTCTTGCAGTGTGAGGGACAGCATCCTGAGGAGACGACCAATGTCTGGAACGCTTGTGAGTTTCGTACAGAACCCACTTTTCATCACTGGTAAGCACTCAATTGAATAAGGATGTGGTACAGTGGCGAGAAAGCAGCAATACGCAGGCTGCCACTCGTTGTCCCTCGTGGACCTCCAACAGCATTTGTGGAACTCACTTGCTCAGTTTGTACGTCTTACCTAGGCGGTGCAGGTGAAGTCTAACTGTTTCATCGGAAACATTGAACTGCCTTGCAAGTTCACCACATCAGACAGAACTTTTTTGGTTACCTTGTAGAATGAAAAATTTTATTATAATTTAGGGATTATTTGCACTCAAGTGCTTGTCAATCTGGATGACCTTTGGGTAATTTTAAACTGAACTCTTTATTTAATCTATGGTAGTAGTATGTTTCTGTAACTGAATATGAATCATTTGTCAAATGAAATACGATAGACATTAATGGGATAATTTTAATTTGCTTCGATAATTTTATTTTTTTAAACATTTTCTATTTTTATTGTTAAATATATTATAAAACATTTTTTTAAACTATTAGTGCAAATGTTTTAACTAACAGAGACATATTTGTTATGGTTGGTTGTTATATATATATATATATATATTAGCATTGTTTTCAGTTGTCATGGGAGTCAAGTAAGTGGAAATGTGTTAGACACTGCAATTTATTAAGAAATTTTAGTTGGGACCCATTGAATTTCTTGAGGAGTCACTCAAGTCACCACATGTAGGTCACAGGGACTCACTACATTAACTATAGCACTCTGTAGGTGACTATTTTCACCAAGCAAAATGTTAGTCCTGCCAATGTTAAATTTGAATTTCTTGTTTGTGTAGCCATATCCTTCTATGGCAACACCTAAAACAATCTTGATTGAAATTGAGAGCTACTGCAATTTCAAATATATAGAATTAATATAGAAAACACTATATTTTGATGGGATTCCCTATAAAGAAAGTAATATTTATAAATGATGCAGTGTGCTAAGTGTTAAAAATCTATCAGTATCACTGAGCAGTACTAAATAAAAACAAAACGAGATATCCCTAGATATGGGCAGCAGAACAAAATCATTTAGCCCTGTAAATTAAATAAAGAGTTCAGTTCGAAAGTCACTGAGTGTGAGCCAGAATGACAAGCATTTGAATGCCAGAGAAACATGACAGAAACATTGTAATAATAAGAAAAAAGTTGAAAACAATAGTCAGAGTGTAAATAATGATGATTCCTCATTCCAGAAACTCAGATATTTTTATCCGACATTACTTCTGTTGTAGCATACCTACAGACGATAATGGGTATGACCCCATTCACATAAATACAGTAGTAAATACTGTATGTTAGTCTGCAGTTGGAGATTCATTGTGGAATTCACTTAACTCACTTCTTGTAGTTGACTACTTTTTCCATGTGCCACTGGTGAATCTT